TAAAATGTGTGCACTTTGTGCGTCAACAACTTTTATATGAAACTGTTTTTCGCAAGTTCAACACCATTGGAAGTAATGGACTCTATCGCACTAAAAAAACCACCCTGTATGTAACATGATTGAGTCGATAATAAGGAAGAAATCGTCCCTCGAAGATTGCCAACGCTCAAAAATAAGTTAAAATTGGCTAAAAACATTAATTCGTTCGGATCTGAACCTTCCAATGTTTTTGAATGAACTCGTTGCATTCTTCGTTTTCTTGTGATGTAAAGGATGTGAATTTCGAGATATTTTGAAATATCGATATTAACTTTTTGAAAATTTTTCGCTCTAACACAAAATAGTTTGTCGTGTTTTAATGTTCAAGAAATGTATCAGTTAATGTTCATTTTTGAATAACTTTTAAACTCAACTTTGTTCTTCTCCTAATTGATTCCTTTTTTATGGGACAAAGATACGACAAAATTGATTTTTTTTTAATGCATTTTGTATTATTTCATAAATTATTCTTTGGTCATCTTTCTTGTCGATGCTACCGCAATTCTAACATTATCTGATGATCCAAATGTACCTATACTCAGTTATATTTTTTTTGAGCAAGTCATTGCAATTAAGTAGTACTCTAATAAAATGAATACCCAGTGGCACATTAACCATTTAGACTTTAGACATGTATTGTCTAGTAATAGTAAATAGTAAATAGATTTCGTGACAATTAGTGATTCAGTGAATTTCAAATAACTACCATAAACTCATTAAGTTTACATTGAACAGAACTATATTTAGACATGTTTTTTATGATAGTTAGTTTGCTCATCGAGATGATGCATCTTTAAACAATGCAGGAAAATTAATAAAGTGAGTATTTTAACATGTAAAATTGACTTAGCAATCAACTTTGTCTCTAGTAAAGTTTATTAAGACAATGGTCTGTATTTATATTATCTAACATTTTATTCCGGGCCTTTGTGTTGATAGTCACAATTTCGTAATGATTACTTATGTTTAATTAATTGAGTGCAAACAATGAGATTTGAAACCTTTGTTCATTGGAAATTAACAGCTCGCTTTCGGTTTAAATCTATAATCGAATGGTTTTCTACCTGACGTTTCGGTTGCAACTGCGGTAAACATTTTCCAGGTGGATAAGCCACCTGGATGACCCTATTTATTAACTTGTCGATTTCTCTAGGTGTACTGTTAATTTAATTATCATTTTCCTTATTTTAAAAGCAATACTTCTTTTGTTAGCTTGAATTGAATATCAAAATATAGTTTGAACCGACTGGCGTAAAACTACCAAAAACCGGACCGACACGAAATTTCCTGTGAGAAACAAAAACAAGAATATTTAACGCGTCAGCTATTTAAAGTGTTAACAAGTCAAATTCATTCAATTATATTTATAGCTTGTTGAAATTTTAAATTTGCCTCCGACTTTGCATCTTTAAGTGCATTTAATGTGTTTTTAAAATGTAGTAGGGCTCATCATTATTTATCATCATCATTATATTGTATAAAAGTTTGCAAGCTTTAACCGCCATACTTAAACACAAATCTTTCTTTTCAGATTATGGAAATTTTGGAATTGCTGCGATTTCAAAATGCAAAAAACACCCTTACGACACAACTATCGGGTGGCGAGAAGAAAAGATTGTCCATTGCATTAGAATTACTCAATAATCCTCCGGTTTTATTTTTGGATGAACCGACAACGTAAGTAACAGTAGGTTACTGAAATAAATCATCTCTTCACAGTGGGAAACGGAAAAAACCCGCATATTTAAGGAAGCTTTGGAAATGTTTGAAGTTTTAAAAACAAACATCATCTTACTTAGGTCTCTTGCACTGAAAAAGGGGATACTTTTAATTGAAAAATAATAAAGTTTACCTTTGAAATGTAAAACGCGTTTGTGTGCTTTTTTGCAATTTAACAAGCTTTTATAGATTTACAATGTTTATTTTATGACTGCTTTTGTACTGCAGCCGAAATAGTTTAGCTTTTGAGCAATAGCGTCATCTTTATTAATGAAAAGGTCTTTGTTATTGTTATTGTGGTAGATTGTTTTTGCATCTGAATGCAACCATTTTTCTAAAGGTGTTAATACGTCGACAATTTCCATGAAAAACTTTTGCCTACATGCTTATTAAATGTACAAATATTAAGTCATGAAAGTTTATGTACTATTACTCATTAAAAATTCCCGTTTTCAAACAGGGTGTACCATCAAAGATTTTTTAAGCCGTAATAAGATTACTAAGTTGGAAAAATATGTGTTATATTGAATTCTACAATGACCTGGTTTCAAATGAAGGCATTCATAAAATTTGGCGGCTATTCGAGCAACGTTGCATGTTGGCGAGTTTGTTTTTACATTACATAAGTTTTACCGAAAAAATTCACGATTATTAAGTAATTCGCGAAAACAACATCTTTGGATTGCACTCAGTGTTTATTTAATTTTTACAAATAAGGAATTCTAAATAAGGAATGACTTATTACTAAGAGTTGATTGTAATTTTAATAATAATTTTAATTCAGAGATTCTATTAGATGACGATAATATTTAACCTGAAATAGAGGAAATTCAAGCGACAACACACAAGTCAAAAAAACGAAAGTCTTGGCGTCGAAAATATCAATAATGAACTTTTCAAATAAGGGGGAATGGAACTACAGACATTTCTGGAGAAATAAAATTTTTAGTACAACGTTTAACGTAGGCTACAGAAACCAGAGCTGAGACATCAACAATGTACAGAGTAATGAGAACGATCGAAACGAAAATACTAAGAACCATCTAAGGTGTTACCCTCAGAGATAGAATAAGAAGTCGGAGATATCAGAGAGGAACTGAAAGTACAGGATTTAGTAAAATAAAATCAGAAACCATGTGGAACGAATGACAGATGAAAAATGGACAAAGTGGGCCAAGTCGCAAAAACCACTAGCGAAAACCGCTAGGAAGACCACTCAAGAGATGGTATGAAAGCTGGAGCTCAGCGTCACAAGAAGAGTTCTGAAGAAGGCTAAACGCAACGGACTAAACAGGAGTAGGTCCTATTGTAAGAAGAATCAGAATAAGAACAAAAGATCGAAATCTATTCCCGATGCTGCAGTTTCTAGCTAATTTTTGCAGATCGTACTTTCCTCAAAGCTCTCATGGATGTTAAAAATTTAACGCTGTTTAATGTTTTTTTGCGCAGTCATATTGTCTTATACTTGGAAATGTATTTTCTGTTTCTGCCCTGAGTAGCTACATTAATTCTGCTTGATTTCAGAGGTTTGGATGATTTGTCTTGCATGCAATGCGTGAATTTGCTAAAGCAAATAGCTCAAGGAGGACGAACAATAATTTGTTCGATTCATACCCCAAGCGCAAAAATGTTCTCAGTATTCGATAATGTGTATATTATGTCGATGGGACAATGTATTTATCAAGGATATGGACCGGAAGTTATCTCATATTTAAGAGCTAATAATTTGGAGTGTCCGCAGAATTTTAATCCTGCTGACTTTAGTAAGTTTTGTTATAAAATTAATGAAAACTCCTTTCAAACTCCATAGCTAAGTCATTGAATTCTAAAGCGCATAAAACTTTTAGTAATTGAAATAGCTTGCCAAGAATATGGAAATTTTCAAGACCGGCTAGTAGCAGCAATAGATAATGGAAAATCGTTATACTCTTCCAAACCCAAATCGGAACAGAAAACACTTGATGCATCAGAAAGCACGCCGCATAACAACGAATTGCAGATTTTAGAACAAGACAAGGCTGCTCAACCTCAGAACACCAGAACTACGTGGAGAAATCAGTTCTCTATATTGTTGATCCGTATGTGGAAGCAAATGTTGAGAGATAAGGTAAAAAGCGCATTTGCTGAATTCAAATCTTCATGCCATCGTACACTACATATTTTAGAGTTACTTGCTACTTCGGACTATTCTCCATATACTAATAGGATTTATTGTGGGAACGCTCTATATAGGAATGGGTAAAGATGGATCAAAGACAATATTCAACTTTGGCTTTTATTTTACAAGCATAATATTCTTCATGTATATACCAATGATGCCAGTTCTTTTACAATGTAAGTGTAATATTAATCAAAAAATGTATTTATTTTATTTTTTCTTAATTTTTGAGTCACAAAGCATTATTTATATTGTTTGTGTATCAAGCCGGAAAGATAAGACTAAGTTCAATAAAGCATTGTGTATTAAATATCATAATTACCAATATACCTAAACGTAAAGAGCAAATACAATTTTAAGCTTTAAATAAAACCCTCTGTATAATTTTGTAATTAAATATTTTCGATTTGTCTATTGAACGCAAATTGAGTTATTTGGCAAGCTTACATTTATTATTTATATTTTCTTTCTTCACAACTAAAATTAATGCTTTGCAATCGCTGTGTTAAAATTTCCATTAAATTTTCTATAAACGTTTACTTATTTAAATATTTCGCGAAAATTGTGCAGATTTCTGGGTGTTTTTCAATCCAATAAAGTTTACATTTTTTACATTACGTACAGGGTTATTGATTGAACTTTGGCCACCCCGTTTTTGCATCTAATTTGAAATTTAGAGAAAATTGTTAAATACAAAATTTGTAGATATTAACGTCTAGTTTATTCTAAGATAATACCAATTGATCCAAAGTTCTATCAATATTGTTTATTAACTCAAACACAGTTTAAAATCATTATAGAACATTTATATCGAATAGGCCTAGAATTCTGCGAATAGTTCGAATATGCAATAAAAAGTACGGCATTCCATTTAAAAAAAGGTAAGTTTGGTCTGCCACTTGATTTTGAGAAACCTTTGAAATTTTTTCTTGCTGATTGATAAGTGTAAGCATTCATTCCAGACATGTATATCATGTATGTATACAACATAAAAAGCTATTTTAAGCTTTTCAAATTGATTTATTTATTTTTTTAGTTCCAAAAGAATACCAACTGATCAAAAGAGAGCATTTCAACAAATGGTATCGGCTTAGTGCTTATTTTGCGGCATTAACAGTCTCGACAATCCCCATTCAATTAATTTTAGGGTCACTCTATATTATTTTGGTATATGTGTTAACTGACCAACCTATGGAGATTGGCAGACTGGCGACTTTTTATGCGATTTGCATGCTAACTGGAATTATATCGGAAAGCTTTGGATTGCTTATCGCGTCTCAACTTAGTCTTGTGGTAAGTTAATTTAATTATTTTCGATCATTTGGGTCGATTGGCTGAAAGCGCTGAGACTTGAACGCTTACTGTTCAGAACAGAACAGTGAACGCGTTTAAGCAAGCCACCTCTGATAAAAGAGCATTTCCCAAACCTCACCTGAAAGAAAAAAAAAAAAAAAAAAAAAGAAGCCACCTCTGAGGATGTAAGCCACTCGTGCTTGCGAAACGCCAGGTTCCATTTTACGACGGCCTAAAAAACCGAAAAACCCACTAGTGTCTTAGTTATGTTGTATATTTTCCCCATTTTCTAATATCAACATATACAGATAAGTTTAGTTAGGATTTCAAATGCAAGCTGTGAAAGCAAAAAAATATATAAATTTAATTTTTATGTAACGATTACAGATACGAGAAACCGATGGAACAAAACGAATTTTAAGTGCCTATAACGAAACATTTACTTTACATTTTTTATGTAGCCGTCGCATGCAGCTTAAAAACTCATAGGAAAATAATTGTTCAACTGCACGAGCAGAAAGAAAAAAACATTGTGACCATTTTCAAAAAAAAAGTTTTCCTGTAATTCACCAAATAATTGATTTTTTCTGTAAGTTCGTGCCTGCATATATGCAAAGATTGCAAATGTGATCCAAATATATCAAAAACTAGAGATGTTTTAAAACTACTTAATATGAAATAACTGAAATTTCGACGACCCATTACTCGTATGAATTTTTACTTCATACAAAACGGTTTTTGGGTTTTTGAAATTTTGATCAAGCTCGTTGAAGTTACTCGAGAATTATTCGATTAAAATTTGCAAAATGGTTACAAGGCAGTAATTTAAGAAGAAAACAAGAGCAAAATAAAGCGTATCTCTAAAAAAATCAGTCATTAACATTTTGAGAAAAGTTAAGGAATTATTCATTAACTTATCTGCTCTAATCTAATGGTAAAAACATATTTTTCAGAATGCCATGTTTATGGGTCCAGTTCTATCAGTTCCATTCATGCTATTAGCAGTTTATGGATTTGGAAGTGGATATGAGAGTATACCAAAGCTTATCAAATTTGCAATGTACTTTAGTTACCTAAGATATTCCCTGGAAGGTCTGATTTATACAATGTTAACTAATCGGGAGAAGTTAGAGTGTCCGGAAGAAGTTGAGTTCTGTATTTGGACCGATTTGGATTATTTCATGAAAGATATGGGAATGGAAAACACAATACTTTGGCTGGATATAACTGCTTTGATAGTGATTTATATATTATTTAGAGGAGGATTCTATTATTTACTAAAACAAAGATTAGCACCAAATAAAACCTTTTTAGCTATAAAATATATTGGAAGACTGATAAAATCGCAAATTGCTCGGTGATAAGTAGGTTGATAAGCAAACATTTGTGATATTCATATTAGCTTCATATTAAAGCTCGGTGGCTTGGGGTATTCCATGACAATCTAATACACATTATACTTAGATAAATACAATTTCTGCAGTTATAAAGCGTAGGTTGAAATGTATGTATTTAGCATAGTATGCGTACTGGTAGATAAAAAAGAATCATTGCTTAACACACAATGCCATTTTAATCACTTGACCCACTAATAATGATTTGTTCTGGGGTTCCGTTGTTATTATTACATTTATTTAAATGTGTTACTAAATAAAATGAATTTATAAAATACAGGCTGAAGTTATTTTCATTAAATGCAATGAACAAGGTGTTTTGGTTTTTTTTGAGGATTTGGTAAACATGGTTTTAATAGTTTTAGTTTGATTATTTGAATAATAATATTAATCTGAAGAGCTTTTTGTGTTAAAAGCATTGCATCGTCATAGGAAATGTTATAAAACAGTAAACGACAACTAAATTTTTAACAGATGGGTATATTTTCATATAAAAATTAAAAAAATGTATGTTTTTTGTGACGTCTTGACGGTGCCAATCACACAAGGCATTTTCTATATTTACCTATTTCCTAAAATGATTCCTATTAATTCTGACTTTAAATTTTTATTAATTCCTATTAATTCTTAATTAAAATAAAATTTGACGGTAAATACTAAAACGGCGAAAAATGTTGGAATTTTAATTGAAATAAGGTAACTTGTTGCCACTTTCATTGCGCCTCCTGTATATGGAAATATAACTTAAGGACCAAAAACTTTGATAGGAAACGCTTCCCGTTACTATCTTTCGTCGCAGATCTCTTCTTCAGATCTATTGTGTTTCTATTTCTCAAAAATCACTTATCCCGAGAATGCGCCAAACTACAACTCGTTTTAGATGTTGAAGACACACTGATGTAGGCATGAGTATCTCAGTGAACTTTCAGAAGTTGGCGCCGAAATGACTTGATGTGCCAACTCAACGTACCGGCACAGTAACTCATCGGTGCAGTTGCATTGCAATGACCCATTTGTTAACGTTATTTATTATATATCATTATAGATAATGTGGTGACCTTTTTTCTTAGGTGTTGAAATTCCCCGGGCCTCGTAAAGCTTTAATTCGCTCCTGGGTTAAATGCTAAGCGTAATTTAAAGTGCGGCACATTGATCACTGCGTATCGATACGCGATGACTTATAACAAAAAACTAAAAAACGAAAAATACCAAAGTCCCAAGTTGTGCATTCCACTGACTTATTGCTTCATCTGCTATCCGCAGATCTTATGCCTTAACTAGCAAAAATGTGCGATTCGATGCTCTATCAAATGCTCCAGCTCAATCTGATGCTGAAAAATGGGCAAAAAGTGGCAAAATGCATAACTTTTTGACCTAATCTTGTATATCGTATTCAAATTTCGCCTTTTATTTCAAGCTTGAGAATTTCTTGTGAGGTCACCAAGAGCTCAATCGGAACCAAATTCACACTATAACTAAGCTAACTGTTTGCATGACAGAGAATACTTTTCTCTATTAATGTGTCAATTTCCATTCCTTCCACTTTTTCTTGAATATTCGGCGAAAAAATGTGGTGACCTTTTTTTAAGTGTTAAAATTCCAGTCCGGGCCTCATAAAGCTTGGGTTAAATGCTAAGCGGAATTCAAAGTGCGTTATAAGTCAAGTTATAACTCAAAAACCCAACTCAACACAGTATTCTCCATGTTTACCCTGATGTGCAATGCAAAATTTAACCAAATCGCGACTCTTGATGAGAAGGGACCTACCTAAGTATTGCTCTTTTTTCACACATGTCGTGTGTGACCAACAAAAAAAAACATAACTGAAATTTTATTCATTCTATATTCATACCAAGAATCAAAAGTACCATTTGATTTACCCCAAATCTTAGTAGCTTTGGGACTAATGTGGAGGTGGTACCGGCATCACTGTCCGCATCATTGACGGTGGGGGCATCGGATTAAACATGGGAGGCCTGGGCGGTGGGGGTACCGGCAACATTGGCGGGGGCGGCGGAACCCCTCCCATCATAGGTGCCCTGCTGACCATAGTTGGCTTCTTATTTTCAGCTTTAAAGGCGAACTGCAGGAAAAATTGTTTTGTGTCTCGGTTCCAATGGGTCCAGAATTTGTTGTCGGTCTTCTCCACTTCTCGGCTCGGTACCTATCAAACGAAACAAGTGAAAGTCTTGCTGTGTGGAAAAAGTGGCCATCTACACTTACCTTAAAAGCTATTGTTTCATAAGGTTCAGCGGCAAAAAGGAGATATTGCCATTTGCGGTCTGGAGGTTCTATTTTCTGCTCGTAGGCAGACATAAACCGATGCCTTGGCAAAACATGATCGGCAATTTCTGTAATGAGAAATTTTTGTAATTGTAATTTTTGTAATTTTTGTAATTTCTGTAATGAGAACATGTAAGAGAATGCTGACAATGATCGACTATTGCATTCGAATTAGTATTCATCATCCAACACTCAAAAAATCATACCTGGGTAATCAATTTGGAACAGCAGACTCTGCTGTCCATTCTCTGGATCTCTTTGCTTTGTCACTCTATATCCAGGACGACCAATTTTTACAAACTTCTTCGGTTCCACTCTGGGTTTTTCGGGTTGCAACATTGTCGGCGCATCTTTAGCTTCTTTTGCAGCTCGTCTAGCTAAATTGGCCTGAAAGAAAGCACGAATTGTGCACGTTTAATTATGTTTTTTGCATAAATAAGAAATCACTTGTCTCAAAAGTAATTTTTGTGCAGTCTTACTTGATGTTTCTTTCCTTGCGTATGAGCCAGATAACTACCCTCATTATTATGAAGGGTTAAACACAATTTGCATTCATACGAGCCCAAGTGATTTTTCATAAAATAAGGATCCTTCTGCAAATCAATTGTCTCTAAGGCGAGCTGCCTCAGCCGCTCTCGTCTGTCGCGATTTGATTCGGACCATGATGCTACTCCTCCACCCCCTGTTTTGCCTCCTGGCCTATTTTGAAAATCCATCCTGGAACCGAATATAGAGCAATCAAAGTAAACAACGTAATTTAAGGATAAAATCAGCGTTGTTTTAAAGGACAAAAATGTGATGTATAGACAATTAAAAAAGCACTTATTACGTTTTCTGTATTAACTACTACACCGACTTCCCGAAAACTAAGTTGCTCACTTTGCAGGGTATGCATTTACAAACACGTTTAACACAATTAACGGCTTTAAATGCGCAAATGAGTTTAGTTGCCAGTTTCCAGTGTTGATCTTCACAAAATTCATATAAGATTCCAATAATTTGGTTGATTTGATTTGTTTCGGATAGGTATCGTATTAGAATCAAATTGCTGTTTCTGCATGATTTGCAGACGAAAAGTTACTAAGAAAAAGTGGTCGTAAAAGCATAATCTACAAATTAAGCTACTTTGTTTCAGCAAAGCAGGTGGAAAACGAAACTAGAAAATTACCCTCTTGTTTTCAAATGGAATACCTACCTGGATAATGGTGTCTAAGATTGAAGTCAATTTAATTCTACACGAAAAACTAATTTTTACAGCATTTTTTAAAGGCAAGTTTGGTAGAAATAATGGTAATTTTAAGACACATCAGGTCGTAAACTTTAATAAGTGAAAAGTGATAGAAAACCGCATTTTTGCTAAAATTATCACTAAGAAAATTTGTTCGGTGATGCTGTCGTATGAGATCCTCGGAATTTGTAGTTTTCTCTATTCTTACCTTAAAGATCACTTCAAATTAAGCACTCTGTGAAAATTTTCCTGAAGGGCACAAATTAAGCCAACAAACACTATAAAACACTTATATTTAACTCACCCTCCTATTTATAGTTGAGCTAAGGCTCGTATTAGTTAGTCTATCCGATTTACTTCTTATTCAGGTAAAATATAATTAACAAATTGTGAATAATTCGTCTTTGATGCACATCACCTTGTTGACACCACATTTACACCGCGTTTCTGACAGATAAAAGATATCGCCATCGACAGTTGACAAGCAATGTGACAATATGCTTTGCCCAATTACTTGTTTTATAGTCATTTACCGATATTAAAGAGAGACGCAACACAAGGCATGCTTTCTATTTTCTTAGCAGTTATACACAGGTATTTGCTGATACTACAGGAAATTTTTAAATAATTATTATCATAATTATATTTGAGTGATTGCATAAACTAATGACATTCACATTTTTAGCTTTTTATCATAAAGCCAACATTTATAGTTCTACTTTATAATTAGTAGCACAGGCTCTATTCAAATCTTTTAATTGTGTGTAATGGTGAGAATTTCGTGGTGTACGTGCGAGATATCGATACAATTGAAAAATACTATTAATAATAAATATCCTTTTATGGGGGCCCTTGAAAAGACCATTCATCTGGTGCTGGCAGAAAGAAAATTCTAGTAACCTTCGTTACATATGAGAAAAAACGTTTTTATTTGATTATTCGCACAAAACTGGATTAAAATGTTCATATATAAATATACATATACATATGTACATATAAACACTGTTTTCAACTTTAACTAATTGTAGCTTGCTGGTAAAACTTCTGCGAATAATAAAATATACGTCTAAAATTATTCTTTTTAATTGCTTTCGAAATAAATTCAATTATCAAATTTGTTGTCTAATTTTGATCTTGTTAACTTAATAAACTCAAATTTTGTTTAAATGTGTATTGAATTCATTAATTTGTTTTGTAATAAGCAAGAGAATTTAGCTAAATTTTCCCTTATAAAACCGCTTTCCAAAAAAGCAAAAACACGTTTGCTGCCCGATGTTTATCGCATAGCCAGATAATTTTTTTCTTTGCACATGGAATCTATTTTGTTCACAATCTTAGTACATCCTCGGACTCACCTCATAAGAAAATAGATGTTTTCCAACATGCTATGCCCCCTTAAACTATGTTGTAAACAATCGAACAATTCTAGTTATCATTCTGTTGCAAGTTGGACATCTGCGGGAAGTTTCACTAATGTATTTTGCACATGAATAACAGCAGCATCGATGCGCTATAGTCTGATGTAGAAAAGCACAATCCTTTGGAGCAGTTTCACAAATTATGCACAGGTCTTTTAACTTGTACGTAATTCTGATGGGAAGATCATCTTCATCTGAATCCGTCGCGGTACCTTTGGAAGTGGAAGGTCCAGAAAAAATGCCGCTAGATTGTGTCAGAGCGGAATTCCCTGATGTAGACGCTGAACTTGCCCTCGGCTCTGACGACCCTGAGGCACCAGCATCTAAATTTGAAGATTCAGCTACTTGTGCTAAAATTAATTCCAGAATTTGAATTTCAACATGTTTTGCGTCAATGGCTTTGCAGCATGGAACCTTAGAAGGCGGTTGCCTTCTGCATTTTTGCCAAATTATTATGTGTTTCTTTTAGCCCAATTATTACGTACTAAAGCGTGGGTTTTCAATTTCAATTTTGTTATTGTCAACGTTTAATGGCACACTTGCTTTTATGATCTTATTATCCTAATTTTATCAATAGAACTGTCTAAGAACAATTTGTGATTAAATTGTCTCAATTTGTAATTAAATGGAGGCAGGTATTGA